ATTCCCTATCGAGCTCTGATTAGGTTTATCAACTAGTGAAACAAACGCCAAATATTCCGTAGCTTCTTTGATCATGCAGAATTTTCTTTGTTTACAATAACTCGTATTTAGCGGATGGTAGTTGTTTGTCCCAGCTTGAAAACTATAAAGCACGTTAACGATTTACAAGCGCATCAATTTTCACTTTTTGGTCCAGATCAACATACCAAGCGGATTTGAGGTGAGAGATTAATTTTCAAGCCTAAATCATTATTAAGTCATCAATTCAAGCTTTTCAAAGTTCAAGAGGCCAAAATGCTTTGGTGTTTTGTCACAACAATATGTGCTTTAAACTGGTGAGGAGATCAAACGAGGCTGACATGAACGAACAATAGGACAACTGTCGTAATCCTTTCAATAGGTTGCTATGTGAACATGTAAAATCGTTGTCACCTTATTATTGTCGATTCAGTATGACTGGCCCCTAGGGTTTTCATTATGATCTACCCCAAACTGACCTCAACCTACAATTATCTTCACAGGAGTACATTTCTCATCCTTGGGTTGATTAGTCCGCGGTAGGCTTGAGTTCTTAGTGATCCTAAATACCGTGTACCATTGGTTCCAGTTAGACACACAGAAAGCGGACCAAGTTTAAACAAAATGTAACAATTTCTTTCCTCTGCTGTTCCTGTTTTGTTAGAAGCGAAACTCTTATCTTTTTTTACATCAATTCCGATTGATCGGGAGCAGCTGATGGAAAATCGTTATCAAATTACCCAAGATTTCATCCCCGCTAGAACCAGTACCGATCTATGAATGCGTTGTGAACCTCATACGAAGCATGCGAGAGTTAGCGATATTGTGTGTGTGTGTGTGTGTGTGTGTGTGTGTGTGTGTGTGTGCATAAGTAGTCCTTGCAATAGCAGCGTCCATTTCAAGTTATTGATTTCAGTTTATAATTTTAGGAAAACTGAAATGTATAAAACTTATTGGGTTATGCGCAAGGGTGTTATTTCGTCAAACTTACGTGTTAAGTCGATATTTTGTATTATCATTTTGAGTTTTTTAGTTATCTGAATGAACCCAGTGATCTAACTGCTGTCCGCTGCTTTCAAATTTTCTGAAAGGGACGACGGAGTTTCCCTTATTGGAGTAGACCATGAAGAACCACATGCGTACAATATGGAATTTCTTTTACATGCCAGTGTATAATCGTCGGAAGAGCGCAGTACATATTCTATAGGAACATGTGTTGATTTTAGAAAACCCGATCAACAGTGTCAAGCAACTGGCTATGTTTTATAAACATTGCTACGCACAATTTCACAGGTGAAGAACCAGAATCGAAATCTAACTAGGGTTCTTTCTCATCAAGGCCACATATCTCGACGCTTGCCCGCAAGCATTCCTTTAGGGGAGAAAACATTTCACATTCGTGTAGATACCAAAACCTCATTTACCGTTTTCTGCTACCCACCAGTTTCAATACCTTCAGCATTTTTCTCATTTGAATTTTCCTTTTGTTTATCTAGCCTGGTTCCCGAGCTCGAGTCTCAGTGGATTCCATTTTATGTGCGTCACTGACGCTACATGACAAGGATAAACAATCTGTGCTGACTGACAACTTAACTGTACATTCCGAATAGACCAACCAAATCTCCTTGACAGTTTCATATAAACCACGACCAAGTCCGNTTCGTCTTGTCCTGTTCACTGCTTCTATATTCCCACCGGTAATGAGTACTCGTGCCCGAGGAGGAACCGGTTGTTGGAGTGCCCGTCAATTAAATAATTCGGTCAGCATTCATTACTGTATTTCACACATTTTACCACTTTATATTTGATCCCCAGTAATCTACTTCAAACGAAATGCTCCCAACGTGAAATAGGAATCGCGATGGGAGGAGCCGGCCTAACAGAGTTGACACATGTTTTAAATGGCAATGTATTTTAAATGTATTGGCATGTATTTAAATGGCAAATGTATTCTACTAAGACGTGTGTTTCCTGTACACAGTTTAGCGTCAGTTAATCCTGAAAACGTAATGGATGCATCGTCTTTGATTGAATACAACATGCACAGGTAATTGTTATATGATAATATCGAAAATGATTGTTGTTGTTCGGCCACGCCAAAGTTCGCGTGCCTGAATGTAAGGGGCAGTTTCACAGACCGTGACGCAGTTCGTTTACCGGCCGAACACCGTGAAATGTCACGGAAGCTTAAAGTCAAGATGAGTCACGTAAAGTTGTGTATATGCACGAAACCGAGTGTCACGCGACAGAACCGCACAATAAAGATTTGGCAGTGCATGTTCAATCGACACGTGACCCTGTTCTGTCTTCAGACTTGCTCGTCGGTTATCTGCGAGCTGGTATGTGCGAACTTTCACGTGCTTCTAGCCGATTGTGTGTGTGTGATTGACCTTGGTATGCCAAAAATTTGAAAGGTCCAGGCTGCAGAATTTGACCAACAAAGATAATACACATGGTAAACTTTGTGGCGTGTAGAACAAACGAAGCATGAAACGAAAACTTAGTAGGCCTTTTGCAACTGTTTCGACCTAGAGTGGCTGGCATATTTTTTATAATGCACAGCCTACAATAATGTGTTTATCACATTTGAAATCGGTTTTCTACCTTTGATATGCAAAGATCTACTTCATTGCACAAAGGTTCTTTAGTGGATTTCGTCCCATTTAGGGCAAATAAAACATGAGCTGAAAAGCTCGGATGCACTAGACAGGTGTTTTGACTTGTTTGCGTCTCAACGGCAGTGCTGACTCATTGACCAAAACGAGGGTCGAACTCGGGACCTCAAAGAGGGAATGCAAGCATACTACCCGCTTGACCATCACACCACCACAACCTTCACTGCTCTCGTAAAACCAAGGTTCAATTAGTTGATGTTAGGACCGTGACTGCTTGCACACACACACACACACACACACACACACACATTTCTCAGTTGGGTAGGGGAAGATCACCGTTAATGACAAAGAGTGGTGAGGACAACGTGCATTGGTAAGGTGGATCAAACATAATGCATTGGAAAATTCTGCTTGAATCAAACAAACTGAGGCTTTCAGGCTTTCAGCCGGCTACAGTCAAACTAACTAGACAGCATTCGTTCAGCCCGGATTTGTGATCAGGGCGGGGATTTTTACTATGCGTCATACACAGCAGAATGAGTGCAGTATATCACACTAGAATTGGCTAACTGAGTCTGATAACTTTCAGCAGTGAGTCGAGAAAGGCTTTAACATCATACAGATATCACATATTCGGATGAAAGAGAATCTGTCTGCATACGCAAAACAGATACCAAAAGTTTTTCTGTTCCGAATCGATCAACCCAGCAAAGCAAAAAGAAATGATACTAATCAAGCAAATGGTTGGTTATAAATCGATCAGAAATTTCAGTCAACTAGTTGAATAGATGAACAATGTGCACGAAAAATGAATCAATAAAATGAGGAAACTGCCCAAAAAGCTGCGAAAGGAATCCGGTTTCAGCCACTCACGGAAGACCACTATGGTTGGGATGGCCCAAAACCTACCCGCTTCAGTCTTACGCTTCGGCCGATGTATGTCTGAATATATTAGGGTGACTGTGCAGGATAAGGCAAACGAAATCGGTAGTTCTTTCTGTTGCTTATTTGTGCATGCAACATAAACCTTCTCAAAGGAAACCAAATGTGAAACTGTACAAAAATCTTGAAATAAATGTTTGCTTAATCACTGTTAACACAAATATGTGGGATAAAAAGTATATCCAACCACCAATTAGTAACCTATTCAAAAGAAAACACGTCACCATCCACACATCCGAACGCAGTTCCCGGGATAAATGAAATAATTCCAGCTCCTCCGGTAAGGTAAAAATTGTTGTTCGGAGGTGAACAAAAGGTAGAGGTCATCCAATCGGTTCTTATAAGCCACCACCGCCCCCTCCTCCGCTATCCCTCACNCCACCACCACCACCACCACCACCACCACCACCACCACTACCACCACCACTACCATCGCCAACACTACTATCATTTAACTCGGTCCCTTGGAAGTCATCTGATCGACCACTTGGTTCTTCCCACACAGTGACTATACAACTCTATATTCAATAAAAAAGGAACCGAAATGAACAATAGTATGACCTGTATTCTTTAATCCTTTGACCTCAGAAATCGAACATGAGATAGAAATATCTAACTACAGTGAGTGAGATATGTTCGATAAGTTCGATGACTTTCACCATGTACCAGAAGGACAATTGGGTTATTGCATTCGTTTGTCAAAACAATATAGCCATTCCTTTATTGTAATTAGAGCTGTTTTTAAGGAAAAAAACACCAATCTGACGAATTGCGTGCTCCGATTTATCACTTTATAAATTCTTCCCGTCGATTGTGCTACATTTGTTGTAAGGTACTACTCACTGTTCTGAGTAGTTCACAAAAAGATGCAATCGCAATCTATCGCAATGGTCAAAAATAAACAACACCAATTAGAGCGAATTGTTGTTGTTGTTCCGAAGAATAACTATGGACTGTTCGATTCATTACCCTGTGTGATGACCTTTTTAAAATGAGTTGTTTTCTTATTTGTATGCCAAATTATCGATATCTTAACTGTAATCTGCAATAGACAACTCTCCTCGACCAGGCACCGCTTGGTGGAATTTTAGCACAAGGAACCCGGATCACCGTACTATCATAAATAAGGAAGGGTTTAGTATAAGATTTGTTAAGGCCGAATTCCAACCGCGACGCTATGCACAGTAATTTAGGGCCCGTAACCCAACACAGAAAATCAGAACACACAAGACAGCGTGCGGATCGGAATCGGGTTAACAATTCAATGAATGATCGTGAGAGTACATCAATCGATAAAACGATGATCGACAATTATGTCAAGTTGGCGCATGGAAAAAACGGATAAGATGAGTATTAGTCAGTGTCTGTCGTGAACACGTGTGTCACGTGATTGGACAATCAATAGGAATTGAAAGACGAATGCGTACGTAGCAAGATTATTCAGCATTTTGCGTTTGATGAAATCACGAAACCGTGTGCAGTTTATCTGGTGCACCAATAGTCGGCTTTGCTTATTCGTAAAAGTTTCTTATCCGCCTGTGTGCCCGTACCCGACACTGATACGCCCGCACACACGTATACTTCACCGCATCCCTGTTGTGTTCGGTCAACTGCAAATTGACAATACTCCCTGTTAGTACATTTACATAAATTGTCAAAGATTTGTATTCCAGATGCAGAAGTTAGCCGCTTTTCACTTACAAACGACCAGTTACATATTCAAAATGTGGTTCGTGTCTGAGTACAGGCATACTTTGAAATGATTCTCAAACGTTATATCAGAGCTGGGATGACTCATTTTTGCATTCATCGTTTTCCTATTAGACTAATATAGAAATTTTAGGCGAATCGATAAGGCGTCAGAAATGCATTGGCTCAGTCGATCAGCAGACACAGGTGAGTGACATTGTCCGCAACCCATGGTCAATCACGTTTTAGGAACGATTGATAATACACATTTAACTCATAGTTATCTGCAAGCAGGGGTATGAGATAAATGCAATTTTCAAATAGAACAAGGAGTGGCGAACAAGCTCGTTTTCAGTGATTCGTAGTCATGCCAAATACATCACAATAAATATTACGCTGTTTATATATAAATCATTATTCAATCTTAAAAAACGCAAACAAATGTTTCGGGAAAGGGAAATGCAATTGATCCGAAATGACCATTGTGAGATGCTTGGCTCGTGTGTGCGGCAGGACGTCCCCCATGAATGAATACACCAGACAGCCGCAAGTGGGCCGAGTCTAGGGCTGGAACCGTCGACAGACAGGAGGTTCTCCGTGGGGAGGGCGAACTGACAATTTGAAACAGAAGAAAATGCAGTTAACATAAACCAAAAGATCCAGTGAGATATGAACACAACTCTCACTTAAACGGAATGGCAGGTTGCTAAGGTTGTTACACCATTCTTCGTCTTGATGCATAATCCTCAGTTCATCCAATCGACCGTATACTAGAAAGCACTAAACTCCAGTTGAGCTCTCATTAGAGTTAATCAGCAGTGGTTACGACGGGCGTCGGTCCAATTTTTTATGCATACAACAGGGATTCGTCCAAAATGTGTTAGTAATCGAAAATTTATTTCCTCATAAAATTCAAAAGTTGACTGCTGTCCATAGTGGTTTGCAGATGACCTTTGGGTTAGATCGGCCTAGTCTCATTGTTTCACTTCATTCAATGGTTAATATTGTACTTGA